GGTCCTCCTGCGCTGAGGGGCGGCTCCAGAGCGGGCTCTGCCTGCTGGGCGCCTCCTGAGGAGGTCTGAGGGCGGGGGGCTAACGGGATACACCGAGCCCGGGCTGAGGGACCGCCGGGACCGGCAGCGGGTGGGGGGCCGGGCCGACGGCTGCGCGCCCAAATTCAAACGGGGCGGGGGCGGTGCGGCCCGGCCCGGGGCTGGCTCTGCCCTTCTGTGACCCAGGGGTCCGGGGCTGGAGCTGGCGACTGTGCCTGAGCACTCCTGGCCTCAAAGCCAAGGGGTCAAGATGTGTATTGCGCGTGGGATAACCTCTGCGGCGTCTGTGAGCTTGCAGGATGCACAGGAATGTGCAGGAAACCTCGTCCAAAAGTAAGAGAAGGTGGCTTTTACTGTAAGAATGGCTGAACGATGGTATTTGATTGCCCAGAGCAATTGTGGGATCCACGTCCTTGGAGTTGTTCAAACCCACCTGCATGTGGTCCTGCGCCACTTAGCGGGACAGTTGGACTGGGTGACCACTAGAGTTCTCTTCCAGCCTAAAGCACTCTGGTTTCGTGAAGCAATGCACTGGAAATGAACCTGTGCCACTTCCTGGCTGTAGAAATGGAGTTTTCACCGAGTTGCTCATGTACCCCCTGGTCCCTATTTGGATGCTCATATAGGCCGAACTGGCATCCCAGTATGGGTGTCTGTTTCATTTTCATGGCAGTAATACTGCTGAGGAGAATACATTTTGTATACACATATATGTGTGTGTATGTATTTATATATAAATATTCCATTGAAATAATACTCCAGAAGATAAAGGCAATGGGTCTTCCATTAGCACCCCTGGCAGCAACTGCTTGGAAAGGTAGGTTTGAGTATGTTTGGTGGTCTTCCTAATATCTCTGGTTGTGTTCTGCTCTGTCAGTTGAGAAAGAAATGTTGGGGCATTAGGCAAGTAAATGAAGTGATAGTAGTGACAGTTAAACTATTTGTTACTACTGAACAGGGACAGCTGAACTGTTTGTCACTACTAAACATTGTCACAGAAGTCAGGGCTCAGAGGGGCTCTTGGTGAAGAGCACTTTGGGCTTGAGCCACCCCTTCTGAGCCTTTTGGCTTCATTAACCAATTTGAACAAGGTCTTTCTGCTGTGTGGCTTAGTCTTGTGGCATTATGAGGTATGAGCTATATTTCCCTGGTAGACGTATTTGTAGTGAAGAGGTGCTAAAGTGAACATCTGTGTACATGTATAATACTATGTAATACCTTTTCTCTTTGTGCAGTTCTGTCACTGAGTTTTCCTGTGTTTTTCTTTTCCAGTGGTTCACTGTAGATGTTCCAGATGTTTTTCTTTTCCTTCAAAGCGAAGGATAATAAAACGGCCTCGAGTCCTGACGTTCTTGAACCTCCCCGAGGATGTTCTGTTTCACATCCTGAAGGGCCTCCCTGCTGCAGACATCCTCTCAGTCAGAGCTGTAAGTGCCACAGCTTCCCCTCTGCCAGGCACAGTGCTCAGCTCTGCCTTCAGGAGCCTGGACTGCACACAGAACAGGCTTCTTATGTCACAGAGCCTGAAGAAATCTAAGGAGTGCCTGCAGGGTTGAGACTTTTGCTATCCCAGGGACAGTTTCATTTCTCACTGTTCAAGTTAAGAGTAGCAGGAGCATTTGACTGCTTTTTGTACCTTTTCTGTGGTAATTGTCCTGCTAGATTACTGTGGCTGAACAAATTGATTTAGTTTGGAATATCTTGCCTTACTGGTTATCAGGCAGGCAACAAGTTAAACATAGCTTGTGATTAATTAGTTACTTCTCTAAAATAAGGTTGTGAAGACCTGTTTTTCTGTTGGTCCTTTTATTTTGGTAATCAACATTTTATGTTCCCTCTGTGCAGGTGCACTCACATCTTAAATACCTTGTGGATAATCATTCCAGTGTTTGGGCACATGCAAGTTTCCAAGACCTGTGGCCATCTCCAAACCATCTGAGAATGTTTGAAAGGTAAGTTTTAAACATCAAATTTGTCTGGCCTTTTGAAGGAAGGCCTTTTCCTGTTTGAAGGAAGATTAACTGTTCTAATCAGTCCTCAGTGTAACTGGGGGATCTGAGTTGTAGAAAGAGGGGAAATATTTTCTTTGGGAATGTAAAAATGGTTGATTTCAGGTCTAAGCTGAAATCACTGGTCACTGCAGTCTCTTTAACCAGAACAGGGTCTATTGCATATAACAAAGTTACTTCTATTCACAGGCATTAATATTCCAGACTGGAGCATAAGACATTCCCTAAAACCTCTTTCTGGTGCTCCCATGTGAATGAACAAATGAGGCTGGGGGCTCCAGAGAATAATCCTGTTTCTAAGCCTGAGTTGGCTTGGTCACTTCTTGTGCAAACCAGTGTATAGAAAAACAGGTGAATTTCAGTAACAAAGTTTGAAAGGGTGATAATAAATCTGCTTTAAAAACATGGGGGACATCTTTTTATCCATCTGATTAGAAAGGGATCCATTGGTGTCAGAGATTATTTAACAGGTTTAAATGCCATGATAATGGTTTTGCTTCTGACTGTATCTTCTTTCTGAGGCAGACCACTATGTGCCCATCAGTTTGGGAGGGAGGAACACAAGGGTTTGATGTTTTGAAGCATGTCCTTGAGGGTACAAGGACCAAACTGTGGACTCTGGTGCTAGGAAGGATTTCAGCCTCAAGTGCCTTCTCTGTTTGACCTTCAGGGCTGCTGAAAGTGGTAACTTTGAAGCTGCTGTGAAGCTGAGCTTGGCGTACCTGTACAATGAAGGCCGTAAGTGTGGGAGCTTGTCCTGGGGCTTTGGGGAACATGGCATAGCACAAAGAAGTTTTACATTGCTCTGCTTAGGCACTGGCCACGAAGTTGCTAGGTGTTCAGTGATTGGGGAGATTAGAGCCTGGGAATTCAGGGTTAGGAGTTATCCTCTGCAAACTTGTGATCAAACTCAGCTACTTTGGTAGTGGGATAAATGTATCAAAAGGGCCTGACGAGTGACAGGAGGAGCCTCCTTGCACAGGGTCCTGTTGGTATTTGCAGAATGAAACCAACTTAGCTTATGAGTTCCTAAAGTCTGACTGTAGTAAGGTTTTTCTTCTTTAGCAATAATATCCATGATTTATAAGGCTCTAAATCACAGAGACACTTCAACCTTTTCCTGATTGTTTGCTCTTGTCTGTCTTGCCTGACTGAATTGTGAACAAACTCTACTTGATTCCTGGCTTTCTCTCTGGTTCAGTGTCCATCACGGGTCACGGGCGTGCAGAAGTGAATGGAATAAAGGCATCTCACTACTTCAGCTTGGCAGAGCACCTCAATGTGTGTGCAGTCCCCTTTATCTGGCTGTTCATCCGTCCTCCCTGGTCCTTCTCTGGAAGCTGCTGTAAAGCTGTGGTCTATGAGAGCCTCAAGGCAGAATGTCAGCTTGACAAGGTCAGGTTTTTTTCTGCCCTTGGCTTTACCCTGCGTCAGTAACTGCATCTCGTTATTTTGGAAAAAATACTTTTGTTTCCCCAAGGAGCCTCCTGGTGCTCTTGTTGATTCATTGACTGTGGCTCAGTCATTTCATTGAATTTATTGCCAAACTGCACATGATAGATCAGGAGTGCTGGAGGCCTGTACTCTCTCTTTGGAGAGGTTCAGTGCTATCTCAGGGATAACAAAACATAGAGAAAAGCAAGGCAGATGAATGATTGAGAGATAAACCAGAACTGTAGTCTGAAATTACTAGCAATAATTGCTGTGGTTTAACAATGCTTTATTTTGATGCTTTCTTCAGGCTCAGAAAGGATCTATTCTCCACAGCTTGGCTAAGGTTTTGAATTTCTTTGAGGTGAGCAGTATTTCTGATGTGATGGGTTTGAACTTGGGTTTTTTCCTGGTGATGCTAATGCTATTTACGTTGATTAAAAACATAAATCAGCCAGATGCTCTTTCACTCCTCAAGTGGCCCAGGAGTTTCTGTTCTCATGAGTTTAATTTACTGGTTGTTTAAAGGAACATTATTAACTTACTTTATTGAATTGTACAAACAGTGAAATTAATTTTGGCTTAATCATGGGCTTGCAGTATGTTCAGGTCTCAAAGGAACCCTTCCACTTGTAATGCCTAGCAAAACAATAAAATAAAAAGCATTCAATGGCAACCAAGCCAGAAATCATTTGTCTGGCTGAGGAAAAGCACTAACTGCTCTCAGAGCCTACATCTGCAAATGGCAGCACTGAGTTGATGTGGGAGCATTCCTCAGAGGCTGAAGGACATTCCCAAGGGATGGATTCTGCTCTGTGGCTTTAGCACAGTGTTCTGTAGCTTCTGAAGGGTTGAGGCATCTACTTGTCTACACATAAAGAATACCAGTATATGCCTTCTGTTTTTAGGATGAAGGAAAAAAGAAAGAATCCCTTGAAATGCTTGAAGAATCATCAAAACAGGGTTGTTTAATCAGCTCCTACCTCCTTTGGGAAAACAACAGAAAAGCTGCTGTAAGTAGTCATTTTTTGTCTCCAAACTAACTTCTGGATCTGTTATCCAGAATGCAAGGAATAGCAAGGAAAGTAGTCAGAAAGCAATTGCTGTTCCTCAGAGCTTACCTTCTTCATAAACAAGGAGGGCGCTATGAACTCTCTGAAATGAGCTCTGGTGTCTGCCTGGCTGTTTGAAGTGAGGCTACAAGCAGTTGTAGCCAAGGTGCCACAGAAGTTGCTTTACTCTAACTGCTGAAGGCCTGGGCACTGCTGGCCAGTGATCCCAGGGCTCTGGGGAACAGGAGGGGGAGGCTTCTGCTTTGTCTTTAATAAATCTGCCAAAGCTGTTCCCTTGGGATCCTGAGTGACTGCTCTCATTTCCTGTGAGACCTTGGGCAAGAACTGAAAAAAAGTTCTTAAAATCAGTGGTGTCATGATGAGAAACAGACTTGCTGCTGAAATAATAGATGTACCTCCAGGTAGTGTTTTTCCTCTGGATATTGGTGCTACAATTCTTCTGTTTGTTGTGTAAAGGCCGTGGGTTTTAACATCTCCTTGTGTTCCTCTCTGTAGATGTCAGATCCTGGCAGATACCTCCAAAGTCTCAGGAAGCTACGAGATTATGCAGCCAAGGGCTGCTGGGAAGCACAGGTAAGACTGAGTTTTCCCAGAAAAAGTCTTCATTTGGTCCTTTCTGTGCTGCCATTGTTAGAAGCAGGACCAGCATTGCTGAGTAATGTATTTATGTGCACAACTGTATCTACTCTGCAGATTCTCTCTTGTTTGGGAAATGATTGCACATCTGTGGCAGAATGGAGTAAATATGCATCTTTTGAAGGACTTAAGAAACTGGCCCCAAATAATCTGTGTGCTCAACATTTAAACTAAACTAAGAACTACTGGTCCAAGTGGTTTGCCATGTTCACTGTTTTTAGCAGGAAAAATATAGGACCATCCTGTGCTGCCTTTGTTTGCATTTGGTAAAATAAGCATAATTTCTTTTGTGTTCTCTCTACTACAGATAGCTTTAGCCAAAGCTTGTGGGAATGGAAACCAACTAGGATTAGAAGCAAAATCTTCCAGGGAAATGGTTTCTCAAATCTTTCAAGCTTCCCTTCCTATCAGCAAGCAAAGCATCTTCACTGTGCAGAAAGGAATGAATGAAATAATGAGGTAGGAACTTGGATCCAGGAGTGAGGCCCCACAGCAGAAACCATTCCCTATTTCCCTCTACATCTCTACAATTTCTCTGGGCAGCCTGTTCCAGGGCTTCATGGCCCCCACAGGGAAGAATTTCTTCCCAATATCCCATCTAGCCCTGCCATCTGTCAGTGTGAAGCCATTCTCCCTTGTCCTGTCACTTCAGGCCTTGTCCAAAGTCTCTTTTGACTCCCTTTTCCTGAATAAACACCCACAGCCATGTCACCTGTGTTAGCCTGCCCTTTAATCCTTATGGATAAGTTCCTTATCCTTCCCTAGGCAGACCTTGAAACATTCCAGTTGCTTTGTCACATGTAGGGCAGCTCTACCACTTCCCCTTGCTGGTGTTGCTTTTCTAAACAAGTACATTACCATCCATGGCAGCATTCCAGCCACATGGGTGTCCCACCGTGGCTCTGTAATGGCAATGGGATCATGGCCCTGTGACCACACACACATCTCCCAATTCCTATTTCTCACACTGTGTGTGTTGGTGTGCAGGGAGTGGATGGAGCAGGCAGGTTTTCCAGGAGGGCTGCAAGAGGATCCACCACAGCCATAACTGCACTTGAGGGAGTTGGGTCTTTTCTTGGGAGGCCTATCAGGAGCACTTGTCACTGCTCTGCTTGGCCTGCCTCATTCCCCAGCTGGATGTCATGGTGTGGGACATCACTTCCCAAGTGGCTTCCCCCAAGACTCTTCCTGAAGTCTCTCTTCCTGTTCTAGGTATATCCTGGTGGATTGGCTGGTGGAAGTGGCTACCATGAAGGACTTCTCTAGCCTGTGCCTTCACATGACAGTGGGATGTGTGGACCGTTACTTGAAGCTGAGACCCGTACCTCGTGCTCAGCTCCAGCTTTTGGGAATAGCCTGCATGGTCATTTGCACACGGTGAGGGTTCTGGCTGGTGAGCAGAGGTGCTCATTGTGATCATCCAAATTCTTTCCTGCAGCTCAGACTTCTCTCCCAACCCCATCCCTTGCTTGTAACACTGGAAAGGCTCTTTGACTTCCCCCTACTTTGACTGTTTAACTTTGTTTACTTACAAACACAGACTCTGTAAATGAGGAAAAAAGGTAGTTCCTTGCAGGTTTTTATCTTATTGAAATACATGGTCATAGTTGTGGATTGCTCTAAATGTATTCCATCAGCAACTGGAGTCTGACACCATACTGGCATGAGAAAGCTGGAAAGGCACAACCACAGCAGTGTTCCATAGCTGAGCCTGTTTACACTCAGGTGAACTGCATGGTGTGGTGCAAGATTATCCCTCTGTGTTAATTTCCTTAATATCTTGCATCTTAACCTAGGAGAGGCTTCACAGATGAAGAATTGGGATCAGAGAATCACAGACTGGATTGTGTTAGAAGAGACCTTAAAGATCATGACATTCTACCCCCTGCTACAGGCAGGGACACCTTCCACTATCCCAGGCTGCTCCAAGCCCTGTCCAACCTCCAAGCCTTGGTCACTTCCAGGGATCCAGGGGCAGCCACAGCTTCTCTGGGCACCCTGTGCCAGGCCCTCACCACTCTCACAAACAGGAATTTCTTCTGTATTAGGGAGAACATTTCAAATGAGGAATATTCTAGTAGGTGCTTCCATCTCACAGGTGAAATAAAGAGCTGCAATTCTTTCTTTGTTGGTCTGCCTGGGAAAGTATCTTGTGAAGTTGTTTAGCTCTGGTCATTGTGGGTGCAGTTACCTGCCATAAGTGCATACATAAATCTACTTTCTGCTGGGGCTAACTTATTATTTAACATTGTAGTTTCATCAGCAAAGAGATGCTGACAATACGAGAAGCTGTGTGGCTGACAGACAACTCCTACAAATATGAAGAGTTGGTCAGAATGATGGGCGAGATCATTTCTGCCTTAGAAGGAAGGATAAGGGTGAGTTTGGAAAGTGGATGGAATATTTCCCCACCTTGGGCTGCTGTTCACTTCTTATCTAATGAGTTGTGGGTTTATGTCATTTTTCTCAATCAACTGTGGAGCCTGTGCATGTCTCAGAGCGTGCAGATTCAGAACCCTCTGCCTTCTGTAGAGATTAAAACTTCAGTTTTAAGAGGCCATTTATTCTCTCTACTGGAGAATTCTTCAATGTCAATGTAGTAGTTAAACAAAAAAGCCCCAAACAAAACCCAGCACCTGGAAACAGCTGTTCTAGACACTTTGTGCTGGTCTTGTATTTCCAAACTCTGTTCTCCTTTCTGCACTAGATACCCACCATTTTAGACTACAAAGAAGTTCTGTCAAGCATTGTCTCACTGGAGAGAAGAACTCTTCACCTTTACAGCTTCATCTGTGAGCTGTCCCTCCTGAACACGAGCCTCAGTGTGTATTCCCCAGCCCGGCTGGCTGCTGCTGCACTGCTGCTGGCCAAGATGCTGCATGGGCAAGGTAACCAATCTTACCTCAAGGGGAGCTGCAGCACAGAATGCCAGTCTGCCTTCTCTTTCTAGGGAGGTTTTGGGGTGTTAGCTTGTCTTTAGACAAGATGTCCAAATCACTTGTCTGGGGGAGGTGGAGAGAAGGGTAGAGAAGGTGGGGACAGAAGAATTCAGAATGAAGAGCTGAGTTCAGCCTATTTGGCTGTATTGAGCAGCCCAGATGATTACAGGGCTAGAACAGCTCTGCTATGAGCAAAGGCTGGGAGAATTGGGATTGTTCAACCTGGAGAAGAAAAGCTTCGCGGTGACCTAATTGTGGCCTTCCAGTACCTGAATGGAGCTGGCAGGAGACATGAGCAGAGTCTATTTAGAAGGGTTTAGAGGGGCAGGACAAGGGGAATGGCTTCCCACTGACAGAGGGGAGGGATAGATGGGATATTGGGAAGGAATTTCCTCCTGTGAGGGTGGAGAGGCCCTGGAACAGGTTGTCCAGAGAAGCTGTGGCTGTCCCTGGATCCCTGGAAGTGTCCAAGGCCAGGCTGGACAGGGCTTGGAATAATCTGGGATAGTGGAAGGTGTCCCTGCCATGGCTGGAGGTGGAATGAGATGGGCTTTGAAGTCCCTTCCTTCCCAAACAATTCCATGATTCCCTGATTCTATTTTACCTCTTAATAGTAGTGATGAACTAGAGCATCAGCATCAGACTATGCAAGCTTTGCATTTAAATGAGACTGAAGATTTCTATCATTAGTTATAACATCAGTTTGGCAGATAAACCTATCCTTGGAGCCAGTTGTGAACTTGAACAAACTATGGACAGATAGAAGCTTGCAAATATCATGATCCTTATCATTAAAAAAAAAGTTGACTCACTACAGAACTACCACACTTCATGAATATGTAATTCAATACATGAATATGTACTGTCTTCTCTAGCACACCCCTGGACCAGCCAGCTGTCTGAATGCACTGGTTTCTCTCAAGAAGACCTCTTGCCCTGCGTGCTGAGCCTCCACCAAAAGTGGTAATGATTTTTGGACTCCTTTGGGGGGCACATGAGTACTTGGATTGCAGCTCTTGCAAATGTGCTGCACCTGTACAGTCAGCTCTTCACAGTGAAGGAGGGGCCTTTGATTAACTGCCTTACTCCCCTGCCACAAGGCACTGAGGTCCAGTTCAGGGACAGCTGTTCTATTTTTGCCTGCTGGTCTGGCCCTGGGTCACAGAAAACAGGGACAGAAAAGGAATTAGATGCTCACATACTCAGAAGCCACCAGGTGTCCTGATGAAGCTGCTGAAACACCAACTCCCTTAGCACAGCACAGAGGGAAATTACCTAACTTGGCAGGTTTTCTTAATATTGTTTCATAGAATCCATTCTAAGACAGGAGTTTTAATCTTTTTTTCCAGCTTCCATGATGATGTTCCAAAGGATTATAGGCAGGTGTCCCTAATGGCAGTGAAACAGCGATTTGAAGATGAACGCTATGAAGAAATAGGCAAAGAACAGGTGGGTGAGCTGTGGCTGCATCTGCTGCTGGCTGACACCCAGAGCAGAGCTGCTGCCCCATGGCAGGCTGTATGAATAAAGTGGGAATTTAAAAATAGTTACAGGGACTCTTAACTCATGTTTGAGTGCTTGTGGGAAGATTTTTCTCCTAGAAAATAGAGTGTCCTTCTGGCTATTTAGTTCTTACAAGAATCTCATCATCTAATTTTTAAAAGTGCTTTGATTTTTTTAAAATCTATTTATTTATTTATTCAATACTTTAGGTTATGAGTTACAGCCAGCTCTGCTCAGTGTTGGGTGTGAAACAGGAGGACCCAGAGCCTAGTCCCTTGCACAGGAACGTAGTGGAAATTCAGACTTTCCTCAGCTCTCCCTCTGGAAAGAGAGCTAAAAGGTGAGTATAACTTGTGGCTGTCAGCAGCTCTGAAGATCAGCCAGAGCCTTTCCTCCTTTCTGGTACCCTTAGGTTTCATTCCTAAATGCAGTCAATTTTCCTGTCACCATCTTGACCTACCTATTGAAAGAGCTAGAAGACTTGGCTTTTAACGTGTGACTCCTGGGGTGTTTTGCTACAGGAGAAGAGAAGACAGCATTCAGGATGACAGAGGCAGCTTTGTGACTACACCCACAGCAGAGCTGTCCTCCCAGGAAGAAAGTCTGCTGGACAACTTCCTTGACTGGAGTTTAGATTCCTGCTCTGGTTATGAAGGTGATCAGGAAAGTGAAGGCGAGCGAGAGGGAGATGGTGAGCAGTTTATTCTTATAAAAAGCAGCCAAGAGGATAAAACCTGTCTTTTCATTTTTACTCAAAACTGTTTCTCAGGCACAAGATGCCTGAACTTTCAGTTGAAGACCAGTTGGAAAAACTCTTCCCCTTCCCCCCTGTGGGAATTGTTAAACTTTCTCAGAGGTATCTGTTCTTTTTCTGCACTGCTTCAGAACATGAGGAGGGGTTTTTTATTTGCTCAGCATTTCAAAGTCAGGCTGTTTGCAGTGCACCAAATGTGATGAACGAGCCACTGTCTTAGAAACACTAATTAGGTGTTGGGTTTTGCTGACCCTGGGCCTGGTTGCTCATTTTCTAAAAGCTCTTAGTACCTGTTCAAATAGCCAGAGGGAAGGAAAAATGCTGTGTGAATAGAGGGTGAATTTAGTACCCTGCCTTCCAGGTGTGAGCACATAGAAGGTTGGCTCTTGCTTGGCCTTTTTCTGCCTGACTGTGCTGAGTGCCTGCTTGGTTCTGGATTGGGACAAACTAAGGTTTCTCTTCTCCCATCCTGCAGTGACCAGCCCCAGTGGGATCCTGGATGTGACAGTGCTGTACCTGGACCCTGCAGAGCACTGTGGCCAGGACTCCAGTGATGAGGACAGCCTGCCTGGGGAGTGGGATGGCTCTGGGGCACCCCACAGGAAGGGAGAGCTGCCAGGGGCATATCTCACCCCAAGGAATCCCAACCCAGAGGGGAGCTCAGGCTACTCTTCGGTCAACACTGCCAGTCCTACATCTTCTGTTGAAGGCAGCCCTGGAGCTCCTCCCAAACCTACCTCAGCACTGCCCCACGGCAATTCCATGAACAGGGAGCCATGCCAGCCCCATTACCTGCACAGGAGGCAAGTCAAGAGAAAAAACATGGCAGAACACACTGAAGAAAGGCTGAACTTGGGCTTCTTAAGCCTCTGATTTCTTCATGCTTTTAACTTTTCCAGGATTCCTGGAAACCTTATTTCTGTTGCAGTCATACAGGGATGGTAGTGAATAATTGTAAATACCTCCAAAATACCTTCCCTCTTCAACCTTGTCTATCTTGTACATCTGGGCTATTTCCTCCCTTCACAGCTGCCTTTTATATATCCCCTACTGTCTTATCCTCTTCTAAGGTTCTACTCTCTCTATGAAATTAATAGCCCAGTTTTATCATCCCTCTTAGTGATAGTAAAGAACTGTCCTGTCCCTTGCTTCCTCTGAGGCCTGGCACAATGAGTGAAATGAATTGACATTGGTTCTCAAGTTTCTAAATGTAACACTATGCTTGAATTCTTCCACTTGAAAGACCTATTTTGAGGTTGTGCTGCCTTTTTACTGTGTCCAGGTCTCCCTCAGCTCCCCTTTTGTCTATGGCATTTGCTGCACTGATACAAAGTTTTTATTGAAAAACCCCAGAGGTAAATGAAGGCTCACTGCAGGTCTGAGCTGCTCTCTCACCTACCTCTCACATGGCTTAAACTCCATTTGCCTCTTGTTGTCATGTTTTCCTCACCTGAAAAATCCTTCTGTGCCTTTACACATAGGAATTGGAATACCAAGGTACAAGACTTCAAAAAGATGTCCCTGAAGTTAACACTGGAACTGGACTCCAGGACTATTTAAAAGTTACTGTGGCATTGGCAACAGTTCAGATACACACAGTGTAGTGAGTGTTTATTAACTGGTTTTTTTATAAAATTGTTTTGTTAGTAGAGATGGGTCCCGGTCTTCCTTCCCTTCATTCCCTGGTCTGAGGCTTGAAGAACTGCTGGGATGAGATTGGGGTTTAGCTTTGAGCTGAGTTCTGATGGTTAAGTTGCAGTGGCACTGCCTGAAGGCTATTTACACAAATCTCACAAGGAGCACAAGGCTCAAATTACCCTCACAACCCTATAGCAGCTCCAGAAAGGCCTTGAATCTGCCAAATAACCAACAACAAACAGCAGCCTTGGGTCCTTGTCCACAAAGTTTATTACAAAACCTTTCTCATTAAAAAGAGAAAAATCCCTGATTTAGTTTCCCGGCTCACGGTGGCTCCACTGCAGTTCTCCAGCTACTGCTTCCCCTGATCTGCCAGGCAGGAGTGTCTTCACATTTACTTGGTACAGCAGCAGCTCAAACTTCAGCACTGGGTCACATTAACATGGGAAGAAAACACTTATAAAAACCTCTCTCATCTAAAACTGGTAAAAGTGAAAATATATCTTGGAAAGGCCTCACTGCAGAAAGCTCTGAATTCTTCCTTGATCTGAAAAAATAAAAGCAGAGGACGGGAAGATGAATCAGTTTAATTCCTTCCCAGGAAATCAGGTGAAGAGCTGGGTCTGTGTTCCTGCTGCTGAATGGAGAGCCTTGGCTGCTGCAGCCCTGCACTAAAACCAGATCTGGCTCTGTATCAAGCCTCACTCTTGGAGATGCCTCATGGCTAAAATAGCACCTGGGCTCGAGATCCAGTACCTCAGGGTTGAGGCACTAAAACCAGAACTACAGGCTGCTTTCTGAGAAATAAAAGCAAAAAGTACAGCCCAGAGCTTCAGATTTAAAAAAAGAAAAAATTACCAGATGGCCTGAGTCTGCATTTTGTTATCACCTCCACAGCCCTGCAAGCGCCTTCAGCCTTTGTTTATTGATCCTTCTTGTATTTGTTCACGGGTAAGTATTTCAGGAAAAACTTGAGGAAACACAGGCTAAGCCTGGCTTTGTGTAGCACTGCACTGGTTTCAGTAGTGAATGACATGCCAGGAGGAGCAGGTTGGTCTCACCTGGAGAGATGTCACAGCCCAGCCTGCTCTGTCCTCACCTGCCTGTGGCAGCACAGGACACACACAGCAGGTGCCAGCACTTACCTCAGGGCACCACTTGGACATCCACTGAGTCATAAGCTGAAGCTTTCATCTTTTCCAGTGGCTTCCCAAAGAGCTGCCGCAGGGCCGCGTAGTCAGGCTTCTCCTCATACTCCAGTGCCATCACCTGCTCCAGGTAGCGCTCCAGGGCATCTGCAAAGAAAGGGGCTCACACTGGAGCAGCACAGAAACTCCAAATGGCTATTTCAGGCTGCTTGTCCTGCAGCCAGCTCACCCACCCACCCCCAGGCAGCTGCAGAGAGGAAAACCAAACCAAGGCTAAGATCAAAAAATCATGAAATTACACAATAAAACAGAATCATCAACTGATTTTGGTTGGAAGGGACCTTGAAGCTTATCTCCTCCCAGCCCCTGCCATGGGCAGGGACACCTTCCACTATCCCAGGTTGCTCCAAGCTCCAAGTTCAACTTGGCCTTGAACACTTTTCAGGCATGGGACAGCCACAGCATCTCTGGGCAACAAAATGGGATGGGGAAGTGACCTCTAGCCCCAGAGATTTCATTTCTAAACCCACCAGCCCACCATTGCTGTCCCTTCAGCAATGTTCATGAAAGCAGATCACAGAAAGCAGCCCTCGTTCTTCTGTACAGAAAACAAGGGATTTGTTCCCAGCCTCCTGGACAGTTCACACAATACTTGGTCACCATCACCACTGGAAGTCATTCTAGATCAACACCCCAGCATAAAGTTCCAGCTTCAGATAAAGTCAGTCCTCCATCCCCGAGTCCCACTGTCACTGAGAGCAACCCCATACCTGGAATGGATCTCTGCCTGAAGCACAGTCGGAGAAGGCATCTCACATCCATTCTGTACCTGAAATAGTCAGCACAGATTCCTGTCAGGTGAGAAGCAAGGGAGCAGGCACCTGAGTACCTGGCTTTGACCACAGGGACAAAAAAAAAAAATCCCCAAAAGGCTGAATTCTGCTGGCTGTGTTCTGGATGAAGCAGAACTTGGGGTTCACCAAACACGCTGAGGCCTGGCTGCAGGATTTACCACATCCCAACTGTGACCTGGGGATTTCAGTCACAACCCCCTCTCACTGCTTTCTGCTGAGCATTTCCCAGAAGAAGAGATGATTTCTCCTACCTTTCTTTCTGTTCCACCACAGCTTTTACTTTGTCCAGCTCATCAGACCAAGGCAAAATGCCACAGAGCCATTTCAGAAGACAATAGCCCAGAGATTCCAAGTCACTCCGTCGAGACGGTCCTGATGGGAAGCACGAGAAATTCACATGTCCCTCATGAAGGGGCAGAAGTAAAGAAATTCAAGAGCCTAATGAGGATGTGCTCTGGGGTATCAATACTCCTGGGAGCCTGCTAACTCACAGTTCAGGAATCACCCCCCAGCCTCTGGAGGAAGATTTCCTGAGCACTCTCAAAGAGCAGTCACATCCCAGCCAGGAGAAGGATGGAATTTGGCACAAGCTGCCCAGGATAGCGTGGAGTCCCCAGCCGTGGAGGGATTTAGAAGTCATGTAGATGTGGCACTTGGATTAGTGGTGACCTTGGCAGTGATAGGTTTACAGCTGGACTCCATGATCTTAAAGGTCTTTTCCAACCAAAGTGATTCTGTGATTTAAGTGCCTTTCCAGCTCTCATTGCTTCAAGGTCAGAGCAGAGCCTGCTGCAAATCTGTTTTGGGCAGGGATCCAGTCTGCTCGAAACAGATCCAAGCTAAGCCAGCACGAAGGGCCCTGTTTTCTATTCCCCACATGCCTGCAGCAGCCAAGGCTCCAGATGGAGCAGGAACATCCCTGCTGCAGTCATTGAGTGACCTGGCAAGTTGCAGCACAGCAGCCATCAGGAGGCAGGAGTGAACAGCCCAAACAGGAACCTGGTTCCTGGTGCACGTGAATGCCTGGAAAGCAGCAGTGCCAGCAATGCCAGCGGGGAGCCCCAGCTCCAGGGAGCAGCACCACAGGAGCAGCTCCAGCATGTGTCACAAACCCAGACCCACCTGTGCCCTTATGGCTGTCCAGGCTGATGAACTCCACCGTGCCCTCATGAGGGGTCCTGCTGCCCTCACGCCAAGCCACGTGCTTCCCCCCGGGGCAGTACCGGAATGCGAAGCCATAGCCAGCGAGGGTCACCTGCAGGGCAGCACAGAGCACCCACCTGAGTGCACAGCAGCCCTCAGTGCTGCCCCACAGCTCCTGCTTCAGTACTGCCCAGCCTGCCCCAAGGCAGGGACCTGGAGGCTGCCTTATCCCATGTCACAATCCCACCCCCAGTGCCCCTTTCCTGGCAGCACTGCTCCTGCTCCCTACCTGTGTGAGGTCTGCTGGGTTCAAATAGATGTTCTCAGCAGTGATGTCCCCATGCACATACTCATTCTCATGAATGTACTCCAGGCAGTCTAGCTGGGAATAAACAGGGGGAGTAATCAGATACATACAGGCTCCTGCAGCACCCTGGCTATCGCTGAGCTGGACCTTCCCTAGCTCCCTGCAGCCATCTGGAGGAGCACTAAAAACACCACACCTCACAGCCTTCAAGTTCAAAGGTCAGGTTTTTCTCATTCTTCTTATCCCAAATTCCTTCAAGGTGACACAGTGTTCAAAAGATGCTACTACAGTTTACAGCAGGCTTGAAAGATGCTACTTAGAGACCCTACCCAAGCCCCCTGGAGCAGCTTTAAAACACCTCTGGGAGATCCAGAAAGAAGTTAAAAGTGTTTTCTGTAAAACTCTCTTGGGAAGGATTGGTTCTCCACATACCACGCGAATTGCAATCTGAAAAGCTGCCTTCTCCCTCAGCAGGTGCAGGCCATCGCTCAGGACCGACTGAAGAGATCGCCCCAAGTCAGAGAACACCAAAAACCTGCAGGAGAAAAGGGCTTTGCACATAACAGTACCTACCTGGTTTGGAGACCCTGCAACAGACACTTGTGATCTGGACCCCACTTCAACTCCAAGCTGACCTGGGAAAACACTTCCTTCACTTTTAGTAAGAGAAAACTTCTTATAAAGGAGACAGGTGTGCTCATCATGTGTTCCAGACACACAGCCTGAGTCTCCCCTTTTTGTTAAGTGTCAAGGACCAGAACAAGATGTCCCCTGGCCTGAGGGGCAGCAGCAGCAAAAGCATTAACTTCACCAGCAACACAAGGACTGAAGGGAACAAAGTCATGAGAGGCAAAGGATTTAATAAATGACAGGAGCAGTGAATAAGGTCAAGAGCCCAAGGCACAATGACAAAAGGACTAGCAAGCAGAGGAGAGGGAAAGCCAGACATGCTCAGACAGCCCAAGAGCTCAGTCACCTCACCTGTAGCTGTCTGCATGCAGTCCAAAGCCAACGCAGTTGGGGATGCCCAGCAGTGGCACAGAATGCCACTTCTTCCACTTCTCCACTACAAGAGAAGAGGACAGTGCAGTAGATATTGCTGAGGAGCTCCAGGAGGAAGGAGTTAGGGATGCTCCTCCTCTGAATGTCTGCTCTGACCTGGACAGCTGACAGTGTCAGCCTGACTCTGTCCCCAGAATTCCAGTCTGATGTGTGCATTGGCATGTCAATACACTGTAGAGCAAGCTTTGTTCTTACCCAAGTTTTGGGATCAACGGAGTCTATACCAGAGAGCAGCTGACAGAACCACCCATGGAAAAGGGACAGGAGAGTGAGCCAAGGTGTGTCAGGCTGCAGGGCTGGACAGCTCCCAGACACATCAAGACAGTGAGGAGCACAAGAAAGCTGTGCTCATACTGCACTGTCCTACAGCACACAGACTGCTGGGAGAACTGGCATTGACCAAACTCCTCAGCACTCTGGCACTAACTGAACAGGGGATTAATTTTTCCCAGCCTGGCCTCCCAAGAGATTCACATAACTGATGAGAGAGGAATGCCAGTTATCCTTTGTTCTTGCCCTCCCAAGAAGCACCAACCTGTTCCAGCCTTCGCAGCTCGCTGGAAGAAATTCTGTTCATTGTAGATCCTCCCATCTTTGGCATCCTAAAGGGAACAGGGAGGAGCATTACTTCAGCCAC